CTATTTCTAATCTAATATGCATAAAAACAGGGAACATTTGACTTATTGCCATGAATAATTTTCTGTCTGTCATCTCCTTAAACTATATCTCGCTCTAGCGCAACTAGCTCATTTTTTATGTTTTTAATCAAATGCAATGCAAATTTTAGTTAAATGTGGCGTAATTAGTTGATGTGATCCTACACTTTTTAATGCAACATATCATTTGATTTACAATAGTTTGACTTCTTCGAACATCAATCTACACATACAACATTCGATAATTATTAAATACGATCTCTAATTTCTGTTTTTTTTCTCTCTCTCTCTTTCTCTGGTCCATTTCATGTTTAAAAAAAAAAATTGTCATTTCATGCGGTGAAGACGTAGTATTGGCAGCAGCTCGATTTTGGGAACCGCTTGTATTCAATACATCGCCGGTATTTCATTGCTCAAAATGTGGCCGACCATATAAAACGAAATACACGCTGAGACGTCACGAACGACTGGAATGTGGTTTACCAGCACTGTATAAATGCCGAATATGTGACTATCGTGCCAAACATAAACACAGTGTTAAACAACATTTTGAAGGAGTGCACGAGAAAAAGAATAAACTTCCACTTGAGATTCAACTGCAAGAATAAATCAGTTTCTATATTACATATGTGTTGTCAATGTTTCAAAATCTCGATCGCGAACAAAATCGATTGAGTGTCGGTCAAATGAGCTCAATTAAAAACAAAAAAAAAACAAACAAACTATGAAAATGTACTCAGAAAAAACAGGGACTTTTTTTCAGCTAATGTGAATCTTTATGGTATCTGTCGATATTTACAAATGTTATTTAGATTAAAAAGAAAATTCAAAACTTGTACAATAAACAAAATGTCAAGGTTTTTTGTTCAAGAATTCCATGATTTTACGATTTTAGTTCCAAAGAACAATAATTTTTTTTTCTCGTTCCCTCATGTAAATAGAAATAAAAAAAAAAGTTGAAAGTTTAACGAAAAAAAAATTGACGAAAAAAAAACAACAAAATGATTTTTAAAAAAATGTGGAAAATAAATGATTGTCATATCAATGAAATGAATCATGGTGTCACTCATTCAAAGTGGACAATTTTATAAGTGCATATACAAATCAACTAATTTTATGATTTTTTTTTTCTCATTTCAGGATGTTTAATAGTCGTCAATCAGCACTCAATAACATTCATCAATAATACTTCAATACAGTATGGAAAATATGTTGAAATCATTATTTTTTATCAATTGCCCTATTTGTGTGCAATTTGCCTTTGTTTGATTTTCTTTTAAACGTCATTATTGGAATAAAACAAAATATTTATGAAATTTTCTTATGAAATGTCCAATGAATTCATTCATTTTATCGTCAAATTTTAATACATTTATTTTTAAACGTAGTATGATAACACTTAGATCATAGTATACATTAGAATCCATTTTTTTTAAATTCCTTCTACCCACCAATCAATCTGTTAACTAAAAAATGTGCATATTTTGATTTCTTCTTTTTTTTCTCTTTCTTTTGCTCTCTGTCTGTCTTGCTTTGTCACATTTCCATTGTATGTGCAATCCACAAATGTTGGTGCCGATATTCAAAACAGATTTGGAATCAACACGTATGCAATACACAATTGTCACCGAAAACAATGAAACAAAATATTATTGTCAATGTGGACGTATATACAATACATTGGGATCGATGCGATTCCATTTGTCGGCCGAATGTGGAAAAGAGTTTCAGTGTGACTTCTGTGACTTCCGTGCTGCACGAAAATCAACGCTTCGAAATCATGTAAATACGGGAAAATGCCTGAACCGTCGTCAATTTGGCGCATTCAATCCACAATCAAGCATCATCAAAGTGTCAAATTTTAAACGCAATTTCTGAGAGAGATAGAGAGACTTGGAGAATCGAGAAAATGTTTTTAGATAAAAGTGTAATAAAAGTGATCATCAATACGAAACATATATGCCATGTTTTTCCTTTAGGTAGTTCAATGTACGTGTGTTTTTAATGTGTGTTTGTGTGTTTTGTTTGTGTGCGCACCAAATCATGACTGACCACATTTCCAATTGTACTAATTTTAAATGTTTTTTTTTTCTTTCTGTTTCTTCTCTCTCTATCTCTCTTTCTATTCTACTTTTCACACTCAAGGACTGTATTTACAAGAAAAAAATGGATTCGCATGCAATTTATGCGGAAAAGTATACAGCACGAATAATGGCAGTGTGTCACGGCACAAACGTTACTATTGCCCATTTACGGAAAAATCACCACTCATTTACTGCTATGTGTGTCCATTTTCATCGAGACGACCAGACAACTTTCGCACACACATGCGAAAAAAACATCAAATTATCACATAATTAAAATCCATTTTCATTTTATTATCATCAAAAGCTAAGTGAGGTGACACCGGCTAAAAAAGACTATAGAATATGTTACCAATAGATACAAATCAATTTTTTTAAGAAATAAACCACTGGCAGATAGTATATTACTACTTGGTAGTGCCTCATAAGCATTTTTTTTATGTTTCGCACAGAGCCGCTCAAATTCACACAAGTACAGATAAAAAAGAGATTATCATCAAATATTTTTTCGTTATTGTTACAAATCTTATGTTATAAAATGATGGTTAATTTATTGATTCTAATTTAGAAGAATCAATTGATTAGTAGAAGTGCCAAATGATTCAAATAAATAAAAAACAATCGAAAAATTTAATGTTTGTTTTATTTAATTGTGGATGTGATTGATGTTTTTGCAATTTTCCCGATGAATGACAGATCATTTCCATTCTTTCATTTTAGATTGATGCAGAAATGTTGTGATGATCATTAGGATGTGATGTGGCTGCAGTAATTGAATTAAAGATGCCACAAAATTCAACGTATGTACAAATTATAAAAGAAACTATTTTTTTTTTGTTGTTGGTAAATATTTCTAAATATGCTTCTTGCATTTATAGTTTTATAATTAACGATATGTACGAACCATTTTAATTGAGAACATATTCGTTTTTTTTTCTTCTTTTTCTTGCATTTTAGCATCAATCATCGAGTTGAGTACATTCGGATGAAATATTTATTATGGTGAATGTTTTACACTCCGAAAAGAGAGTAAACTTACCTAAAGAAAAAAAAAATTGAATAAAATAAATAAATACATGGCATTTTTTTGACTGAAATAAAACCTGTTGAAAGATTTTTTCTCCATTTATTTTCAAACATTATTATATTCTTATTATTATTGGTGTTGAGTTAAAATATTAATTGCTTTTTGTATTGTCCGACAAACGATAAATTTTTTGCTTGGTAATCACATTCATTAATATTTAGCAACCTTTGGTTAAAAAAGAGATTATTTGGGAGACTAATTAGTTGCTATAATAGAATGTAGAAATCTTGCTTCTGGCAATAGTTCTGACAAAATTATTCATAATATTATTATAGACAAAATTCGATTAAGTTTGAAGCACAGTAAAATTAAATATTATCTTAAAAAATTGCAGGATTAATGGCAAAATCATTGATGCCGCCACCGCCACCACCACCGCCGCCGTCATCATCTCAATCAAGCTCACCATCAGTCCGAAGTTTTAGTTTAAGTAAGTAGCTCCGACCTCAATCACCAAAGCCGCATACACTAACGCACAATGCGAAATTTATAAAATTGTAGAAGTCAAACCAATGGCTCAATTGGTTAAGGATTATAATTTCGGTTTTCCACTGCGAAACGTTCAACAATTGGATGCCATCGAACAAAATATTCTAACGGATGACAAATACGCATCGTCACTGGTAAAAAATCATTAGCATTTCACATTTAAAAAGAATCCCATTTATGTTTAATCTCATATTTATAAAAAAATCGACGAAGACAAAGAAGAAGAAAAATAATTATAAAATTTCGAGATTTTGTCTTCAACTGTTCGATCACGATTTTAACATTTATTTTCATGCTCTGTTTCTTCCATACTTATGTTCTTACATGCACGCAAAAACAAAATTGTGTCATTTCGTTGTTGTTGTTGCTTTCCAAAAAAAAAAAAAAATTATGGTGAATATGACTGAACAATGTGAACAAAAAATTAAACACGGTTGATTATCAAAATCCATGATTGCACAATCTATAGATTGGTTTTTTGAAATCAAAGCCTGGGTCACTGCGTCAAAATTTCCCCAAACTCTTTACCGATGATTTTACAGAACAATTCAATTGGGACGGTATCGGGAAAAATAAATTCGCGATTCGACATCGTGTATTTATTAGTCATATATTATACGGTTTGTGTTCTTATTTCTATATACTATATTTTAAAATTGTCAAAACAAAATTTATAAAAAAAATTTCAATTCTTTGTGTAGAATTTTGTATAACTATTTTAAAATATCTCAAAACAGTTTTTTTCGCTTGAAACTTTAGATTTTGCATCAATTCATATCGATTGAAGAATCAAACATTTTTATTTAGTTTTCATAAAAAAAAATCTTGCTTTGTATCGCATTGTTTTGCGAATTTTTCGAATTTTTCATGAACAGATGCTAATTGTATGCTTTTATTTATCCTTTTTTTCCAAAATCTATGCACACCAAACCAGAGGTGTACAAAGGTAAAATAGAAGGCGCAGCAATGAATATTGATAAATACGGGCAAGAAGTACGCAAAGCCATCCGATTATCCCGCATACGAAAAGGACGCCGTCAAAAAGTCATAACCGAACGATCCAAGAACAAATCCTTCAATTATTTTCACTATCCATAAAACAATGTCGTTCGCATGATTTTTTGTGTCAACGCAAAATGTTGTGGATGTTCGTTGGTGAATCATGTTCGTTGGCATGACACATTTTAGTGTCTCACTTTTTTTTTAAATCTAAACTTGTTCATTTAGATATATTAAATAATGATTAGAAATGTTACAGATACCAAATGCAAAGAAGAATGTACAAATAATTCATAAGTTGTCTATATTATTGAATTGATATCATGACATATTTTAAACAAGAAGATGGTACAATACAAATGGATCTAGCATATTTTGCTTTCATTTCAAATTCCAAGATCTATTTAAAGAATGAAAACGCATAAATGAATATGCATAAATTGGAATAAAATGTAAAATTTGAATGACAGTTATTTTGTAATAAAATATTGAAGAAAAAAAGAAACCGATTGTGTTCAATTCATTGAATATGAGGTAGTATTGAGATTTTCTTTATGTTTTAATTATTGGCAAGCTCTTATATTTTGGTCACATCTATTTCTAAGTTGTATCATATCTTCAAAACACCTATTTGCGAATGAATGATATATTTCACTTTGAATTCTCTTTAATAGATCCACTTGCCGTAGAGGAACATGATTGGGCCAAACTACTCGCCGGTACCAAAAATATAACGTGCGAAAAAATCGTGCCAACATTGAGCGAGAAACGATGTCCCGATTGTTTTACTGTATATTCAACACAATACAGTCATCATTGCCGATACCAATGCAATCCGAATCGTAAGACATCCATTGACAAGGTGAGTGACTTGACGCAACAAAGTGACACTGAAATCATGCAACGACGAAGTGAGAATGTTGATTCAGACTATGTGCTGGCACGCATCAAAGTCTATTCGTGCGAAGGATGCGGTTTTAAATTTAAAAACACTTATAATCTTAAACGGCATAAGCAAACCTGCAAGTCATATCTGTCGGGTAAAATGCTTGGTTCAGCCGATGTTGTGGTTCAAGAAGAACTCATAAAAGCACTAAAGTACCATTGCGATCGATGCGGAATGGTATTCAATCGATTATTTAATGTGAAACGACATCAGAATAGTCGCGGATGTAAGGGCAGACCAAATGACGAAACTGCAAATAATGCAAGGCATTTCAAGTGCATTGATTGCCAAAAACTACTTGTATCGAAGGAAAGTCACCGAAATCATAAACTTAAATATTGTCCCGCCATCACTTCAAGCAAACCAAAACGGCTCTTAACATGCAAGGGTTGTGGCACATCATTCACCAAGAGCTACAATCTTAATAGACATCAAACAAACAATTGTCCAGCATTGAAAGTTCTTTCCAAAGATTCAGTTTGCTATATATGTTCGAAAACATTTACCACCTTTGAATTACTGAATGAACACTTGCAGAAAATCCATAAAACTGATTGAAGATCCATTTTAAAAATAATATGTTAGTAATAAAATTTACCTTTTGCAAACAGAAACCTTTTGTTCAATTCATTGGATTTGAAATTTGAAATGGAAAACAACTATGACCACTTAGTGAGCCAGTCGATTATTTTGGGATATTTTAACTATAGCTGTTATGACTGTATGGTTACTAGACTCGATTATATTTAGATTGCAATTGCTATAAGTAAAACTATAGATAAATTGTGTTAACTAATGTTAGTTGAAGTTGTCTATGTTTCTGGTTAATTTATCCCGAAATAGTTAGCCACACTCAGGATAGCTTTGATACGACGAATGTAGAAAAAAAGCTCAAAACTTATTAAATGAACATTATACAGAGAACACACTACAAATAGATGGGGCACATATTAAGGGTAAGAATATTATTTCCATGAATCATTCGGTAAGTTGAAGAAAAGGTCAGGTATTCAAGAAATTCAAACCTCAATAGAATTGAGGGTGATTTAAAATGAAATGACCAAGGTCTATTATGAGTATTAGCATTTTTGCGGATCTCAAAGGATTTTACTTTTCCGCACACACTTAGTGTGTAAGGGGAAAGTATTGAAATGGGTCAAAATTTACAAAACCTCAAAAACATGTTTTCTGGACGTTTCTGAGGTCAGAGAACCCGAATCAGACCGTTTTGAGCATGGTTGTTGTGGGTCGCTTCCACGTCGTACGTCGTACGTTGTCCGCCGTACGCACAATTTGTCCATCGATTATCTCACCCCCCCAGAAAAGTTATTTAAAATCTGACTTTACGGGAATTTTTGGCTCAAAAACGAATATTTTGTATGAGAGGTACTCATAATTTTGGTTGAAATTTCTCCAAACCCTCCGAATGTTTTTTTTTGTGAAAAAAATAACCTGTGCAAAGTTTCACGCCATTAAGGTAGCATACAGACATGGCTCCCATACAAAAATCCAAATTTTTTGTGACTTTAGTTATGAAAAGTGTTTCAAAAATAATTTTTATGGCAAAATTAACGTCAGACATATTTTTTATAGTATTTTGTTAGAAAATAGAATACTTTCAAATGTCGTACAAATGGGTTCATCATGAAAGTGTGAAAAATCTTTTCTCGGGTACTTCTGCTATTAAATTAAAGAATATTTCGTTGCCAAAGTTGAAACATATTTTTTGGTCTCGACCTTTATGCCGCTTGAAAGGCTTGAAAAATCAAACAAATATTATTTTGAACTAGCTTAATAAAATACGCAACTACCACCGTGCGGAAAAGTTCGTAATACTCCCGTAAGACTCTTTCTTTTATTCGCATTCATACTTAATTTTCACAAATGGAACTTCTTTTCTGACTACAGAATTTATCGTTGAACTTTCCATCATTGTTCTATTCCAAGCAATTTTCACGTTCATTTAACCAATCTGCTCTACAATCATTTGGTTCATCCTTGATGAATTCTACAATGCTGTCTTTGACCACTGTACTATTTGACATCCAATTATAAATGAATTTGTTTGGGTCATGGAAGTTTGTACCAGAAGTCCAATACCAATCACCATCGGGATCTGTAAATGAAAAAAAAAATACACTAAATAGGTATCATATTATCTTGAAACTTTCTTAAATATTAAACTGACCGGAACTATTTATACGATATTTTTAAAGTAAAATCTTCAGGTCTGCGCTTTCCCAGTGTGTTGTAACACTAACTAAATTCATGTTTAGTAAGCGACAAGTTTGAAATGCTTGGAACCAATTTGCCTGTTAAAACAAACTCATTTTTAATTAATTTCAAAAGAATGACTGAAATTCTGTGAAATGCCGTACTAAAGCTACTCTTCACAAGATCGGTCGAGTATTCTATCTATATATTTTTAATAAACACCTCAAGAGCTACAAATTAAGCGATTTTAATTAAACAAACAAACAAATCATGTTGTTTCAAATTCTTTTAAAGCTTGATAATACCTCAAGCAATATATTTCATCAACATTTCAAAAAATATTTTATGAATGGTCAATTACAGCTAGGAATAAGAAATTCATTGAAACATTGATATTACTTACAGTTTGAGATATAGTGATGCGATATTTGTGGGAATTGATTTCGAATAATGGAAATAGATCATCAGCTTTTGATTCTCTTATTGATATAATTAAAAATATCATGTTGAACCAAAATGGATTTTTTCAGAATAAAAATCAAATTAATATGAGTAAATTTTAATTACCATCGTAAAAAACATCAGCACCCGTGCTATTGTATGGCGCATTGTCTGTGGAGGCACTCTCTTGTTTTGTTTGGTAGTGAGAGTTCTGTGAACTGAATATCGATCTAAGAATGGCGAATCATCTTCGACCGATGAATCTAACGCATTCTCGGAAGCTAAATGAGAAGCTGCGTAAGCTAAATAAATAAATAAAAACATACAATTAGCACTTTTGTTTGGTTCAAATTATTACACGTTGAAATTTTACCTAATCCCATAAAGAAAATGGCTGCCAATATTCGATTCATTTTGATGATGCTTGTGGAATGAATCGTTATTTGTGCAGAGGACTATTTATACCAGCATTTCTAATCTTCATTTTGGCGATTAATTTTTTTTGCCAACTTGTTGGAACGTTATCAGTTTGTTTGTTAGCGCAAAATTCCTAGAATTAATTTCGACATTATCAAAAATGTTGATACATTTCGTTTTCTCTGCACAATCGTTGACCCTTTTTGAACTTAGAAGCATGGAGACACTTTACTTTATCTTCTTGGGAATTTCCATAATGAATTTAAATTGCGAAATTAAAACAACGAATTTTGTGCTATTTTTAATGTTTATCATATAAAATTCAAATTAATTAACAATAATCTACAAATAAGCCTCTGAATGCACTGTGAAAATAAATACAAAAAGTAAATTCATTTTATTAGAGTTTTAATGAGATAGAATTTTATAAAAAATGTTCGAAATTTGTCAAAAGCACATTTTCAAGCAAGTTTCAAAGAACAGTTTCTATGTCATTAAAACTGATGTATGAGTATGCGTCCTAATTTGTCTAGAGAGAGGTCAGAAGGTAAATAAGGTATGCTCATAATCAAAATGCGCATATTTGAAACGAGAGATATCAAACCGCTCTTTATGATCTGATCTGCACGATCATTAGGTTGCTTTGTCAAAGAAAGAAACAAAAAATGAAAACATAACAGAAAAATTGGTATTTAATTTTCTAACAAAAACATGATTTTGATCGCCGCCTCCTTTCCGGTCGAACATTCGAATTTGTCAGTTGACTGTTCCTAGATATACCTTTTATCCATCCAACCGGCCGATGCGTTGATCAAAACATTGTGGAATCTGTCGATAATAGTAGAGAGTAAACAAATAGGAAAATTAACAAACGCTGCATGCCAGTGTCTATAATGAAATTTCCTTTATGTGTTTTTTTTTGTGTCAAGTCGTTCCTCTTAAGACAATTAGGGATTATGCTTTTATCTTTATTCAACTTTTATCATAACAACATATCCGTTTGTTGTTTTTCTTCGATAAATAATTGGTTCGACGGCAGCAATTATTTTAAATTTCACTTTTTTTTCTTTCTCTCTCTCTCTCCACATCTTTTCGCATCGTCGTTTTGTTGTCGGGATTATGGGCTGCGTGCTAAAGACACAGAATGAAAAGATATTCGTGTGCCTCGTGCATTTTATTTCTCTCTTATCATCTTGTTCTTGATAATAACACCGTTATTGATGTTACGTGATACAAATTGCCATAGATAGACAAACCGATTTGAAAATAAATCGTAATTTTTCAGTCAAAAGATTCAATCACTTGGTTAAACGTAAATTTCTTCATATTTGAGTGTTATGTGTTTAAAAACTCAATTTTTGCAATTACTTTCGATATCTATGTGCATTGTGCATTGTGCATACTTATGCAACGAAAAAGAAATCGAAAATGCGGATCTCTATCAAAATTTATCATAATCACACTTGTTTTATCGATTCTTGTTTCATTTTTCGTACAACATTTCACTCACAAGCACCGAATTGAATGAAATATATTATAATTTTTATTTTCCTGAATGGAAGAGACAGGCTGGCAAAGTAAGAGTGAAAATAATGATGCGTCGAAAACGAACGAAATGAAAAAGACCTGCATACACACAACGGCGAAGAAAATATATATTGATGATGAAAGATAATGTGGTAAATTAGCGTAAACGTCCTTGTTCTTCGTACATTTTAATAAGCAGTTTACATAATCGGTCCGTCGGAAAATTGGAGCAAACGCGACGATAAGTTTATCTCATGAAAACGATCGTAAAAGCGTAAATTAAAAACACTTTGAGCGAATAAATGGCAAACATGACAGGGAGAAAAAGAGAGAGACCAAACATCTGTGAGTAATTTCTAAATAAAGGATTTTTATTTAGCAAACGCAACCTTTTCGCATTCATCACGTATATCTTGAGTTTGTTCATGGCAACAGCAACCTGTTCGATTTGTGTTACATTTTTCTGTTGTTGTTGTTGTTTTGCTTGTTATTCGTTGTGGCTAGTCATAGCGTCGTCAAATCGCAAAACATGTTTGATTTTCTGATTGGCTTGATGGCGTTCAATCAAAATATAATGCGCATGATGTGATTTATATCGTAAAACATTTCGAAAATCATATCATTTAATTGGATTAATGGTTAAACAAATTTCGGTTGTCTTTTGTTGAACGAACGACACGAAGAATGAATGTCAAAACGTCATTGACACGAATTTTCAATATTTGTAAAGCGTCTGTCTCGAATTTAAATTGAATAATTAGTTGATGTACTGACCCAATCATATGTGTTCTAAAGCCGCATAAAAAGGTCCAAAGAATCCAATAATAAACCAAAATCTTTCAATAATTTTCTTCAGATGCACTCAAAAAAAGGCTCATTACTGGTTAGAGCAACGAATCATTCGATCGGATGAATTGTATTCCTTCCACAGTATCTGCGTGGATTTCAAGTGATTTTTTTTTTGTTGGTTACCGGTGACCAATCGCAATGTGTGACCGCCATATTTGCGGTTAATCGTGCTTTTTTTCTCTTCTCATTCCTTATTCTCATTCTCCGTTGATGTGTGGTTGTTGTTGTGTATTTTGTTTTATGTTTCGTATTTCATTTGCTTTGGGTTTTAGTTTTTTTTTTTTTCATTATTCTTGTTTCAACAAAAGTCGTGGTGCATGTGCACATCGCGTATTTGTTTTTCTGTTGAGTGCCTCAAAAGATATATTATGAGAGTGTAGAGTATGTATAAAGTTGGATTGGTGATGTTTGGTTTGAGTTTACGTTTTGCTACACTTGGGATCACATGTCGAATGCCAATCAGCCGTACTATGTTTATATATGCTTTTTTGCCATACACAAAAAATCGATCTCTCGTTTTCACTCTATCTCATTCTTGTCGCTGTTTTGCAAAGTGTGTTTGGCGTTCGTTTTGCACGTTGGCCCATTGCATTTTGTACAGTAGTAGTGGATTTCAGTCAAATGTGGTCTCGATTCTTTTTATAGTCGCATTCGTTTCGTACTCGCTCTCTCTTTCTCTCTCTCGCGCGAGCGTCTGTGAGCTCTCTTATTTCTTTGGTGCATACAGGCTCTTATTTGCATTCGGGTGCAACAGTTGCTTGGTTGAAACTGCAATAGGCCGTATTTGTTTGTGGTTTCACGTACTCGTAATTATATTTCATTCGTTCGCTTGTTTTATTATTTTGTTTTTGTTTTTTATTATTTCTTTATATATTTTTGGTGTTTGTATTGGTTTTGTTGTTGGAATTGCATTGCTGGGGTCGCATCGACATGACACATCGCATCGCCAAAGATAGGCAAAAGGGCGCATAATAATTTATTTAAGTTGAAACAACGCGAGTAGGCTCAAAAGTTCTCACAATGAATAAAAAAAAGAGAATAACAACCCAGAGAAGGCAAGAGAAAGAGTAGGAAAAAACGACAAAAATTCACATATGTACACGCAAACCAAAATCCATGTACATTCAAACACGAACCAGCAGTTTTGAGTAACAGCAACAGTGTTCAACAACGAAAAAGCATAAATAAATAAATACTTGAAGCGAACATGAATATATGATAAACATGCCCATAAAAATGGTTGTTGGTGTGCTACATTAGGCATGCATCACCCAAGCCTTTTGATTCACAAACGCGCATGGTACGACGAAATCATGGCTTGGTTTGTATATTCTCTCTTCTTTGTTCTTGGTTGTTTTTCCAACAACCAACTCACTTTTTTCGATGTTTGTATGTGTGTGTGTTTGCAATAATTACGCATGATTTGAGGATGTATGTAGTTTGATATGCGATGAAAAAAAAATGCTCATCCAAAAGATTCCTCTCTGGTTTTTCATAATCGCCTGAAGACAATTCCAGGTATTGCATACGTATGGAGTTTTTTTTATAAGATTTATCTATTTTTTTAGCACCTGATATGCATCGGATTGAGGTAAGCAGTTTGGCTCATTTATTCGAAAATATTAGGCCATAAAAAACACACACTCAATTTCAAGAAATATACGAACGACCAAAAGCCTTTAAGGTGTATGCATTACAAAATCGCCAACATATCTTCAAATAGACACTTTCATCTTTAAATGCGGTCAATCGTTTTCATTTTCTCTGCCTGTGCAAATTTGTCAGTCCTTCGAGCTTATATTCCGTGGAGAGACAACAACAACAACAACAAAAAGTCAAAACGCAAACATTTTCGTGTGTTTGATCATTTATTCGGTTTGGTTTGTGCATGCGACATGCAACCAGATCACAACTGCAAGATACTGTACGCAGATGATTCAATTTCGAACGAATCCGAATAATACATATCACAGAAAAAAATAAAAAAATTAAAGGAAAAATAGACAATTTTGTATTACACGCTATCAAATAATGTGTTGTTTAAGCAAATACAACAAGAAAAAAAATAATAATACAAAAATAAAACGAAAATAAAGAAAACGACAAAAATAAACATTTGTTCAAATGTGTTGTGGTCACGAATAGTTTTCCGGTTATGAATGTATGCATGTAAGCTTTTTTGTATAGAAAAACAAAATTTTATGAAAAATGGAATATTGCATATGTCTTCCAATTTGAAGCGATGCACATGGCTTTTGAACCTCATCGAATAAAAAAAATAAACTAATTAGAAACCAAAAACCAAGGTGAAATGTTAGGTCAACTTTTTAAAAAAAAATGGGATTGCTTTGTGTTAGGCGCTTTCGGACACAATTTATAATTCGAAACTTTGGCATAGAAGGCGGTGGCCAAATTCATTTCAAATCAACATTTAAAAAATGTTCGACGGCCCGAAAACTGGTGCCAATCAATTTCGATGCAAGTAGACGAGGTTCTAATCGCCTTAAACAATATTTTTTCGGCTCACTTAATGCAATCTAAAATGTTCGCCTTTCAAAGAATGATGCACTTCAATGAATGCAAATTTATTCTGCAAATCCCAATACGATTTTGTTGGGCATTT